CGAATTAGACTCATTATCAAAATATAAACCATAAACATTAATGCTTACATTATTATTTTTCTCAACAATGTGAATATCACTGATACTGCACGGGAAACGTTTTTAAGTTAATTCTATCGATATGCTGGTACTTTTGAGGACGGTGCAATGTTCGTCAATGGGGTACATAGCATGAATTTCTACAACCAACTGATGCAGTAGGGTGGGCGTCATAATGAAAAAGCGCAACAAATCCAGCGCCAAAACTCAGGTAGCGAACCCCAGACCATTGATCAGGTCGGCCAATTAAACCAATCGATCGGTGTGCGCGCTTGCGAAGAGACTCCATACTGATAGTAGTCGGCCGATATGGTTTAGTTTTGAACGCAGTTGGGTAGCCCTATCAAACTTATTTATCGGCCGATACAAAATCGTTGTAGTATGCGGACTTGCATACATCTTCATCCTGATTATCGACCAAACTATCGGCCGATAGAAAGTCCTGATTATTCAGCAATTGACTTTATAGTCATTTCTTCGATATCTATCCGCATTTACGGCTAGTCTTAAACATTTATTTTCATATTATAGCAGTTTTGTGATATGGGTTTTGAGGATACCTGCCCATATGGGAGCTCCATATTTTGTTTCCCTACAATTTCATTATCTGATTGTGAGTATCTACTCTCATCTCATCAATCATCTGATGGTGTCATCTGCAAACAATGCTATTTTCGTACTGGGTGTTTTGGGTATATCACTCATAAACAAAATATAAAGTCTAGGTCCCAAGACAGAGCCTTGCGGGATCCCTGCCTCTATTTTCATAGGTTTTGAGATGCTGCATCCAATTTTTACTTTTAGTGATCTGTTTGTTAGGTAGCTGTGTAGTAGCTTGATTAGCTGAGGATGGATATTCATGTAGATAAGCATATATGAGCCCAGGCACCCAGACTGTGTCAAACGCTTTTCAATGTCAAGCAGAATACATGTGGGTTATTTTCCTTCTTCAGATTCTTTTATGTTGTTGATGACCCTTGTTGGATAGTGGAATGTTTTTCTCTGGATCCAAATTGCTCATTCATTAAAATTTGTTTGTTTTCAATTTCTGCGTTTAGTGTTTGTAGAATAGCTTTTCAGCTACTTTGCCTAGGGTGTTTTAGAGGCTTATCAGCCTATAACTACTTGGATCATGTGTTGACTTGTTTGGCTTTAAAATTGGAAGGATTATGGCGCTTTTTCAAACCGTGAGAAAGTAGTTTAGTCTAATGCAAGAATTAATGATTTCAGGGATAAATACTATGCACTTTTGGCTCAGATTTTTTAATATAATATTTTGTATTTGGTCAGGACCAGGAGCTTTAGGTGGTAGGGTATTAATTATGGCTTTTTATTTCTTTTGGTTTAATAGATAGTTTATTTATTTATAGTTTCCAGTAGAGTGGTTTGTCCGTTGTAGGGAGCTTAATTTCGCAAAATGATTTACGGGATATTGGCTTTATTTGCATTATTAAATTCACGTAACTGCCGTTTGAGTTTTATCGAACTAAATTATTTTTGTGCGTTGGGTTTCAGAGATTTTACAACATGCCATATAGAATTATGATTGGGTATGATTTGTTGTAGTTTACTTTCCCATACTTTGTTTTTGTTATATTTAATGTTTGCTTTTATTTGTTGATTTAATGTTTGCCATTTTAGTAGTAGAGCCTGGTCCCTGTTTTTTTTTTATATAATCTGCGGAGCGCGTTTCCGGTGATTAATTTTATTGAGTATCTCGGCTTGGGGAATTTGTTTTATTTTGCTTTGCTTAATTTTATTGATGGATTTCTGCTTCTGGCTTCTTTTGTAGAGTTCACTAGTATCTCTATTTGCTGGTCTATATTCTCAATTGTGCACATTTTGCTCGGAATTTTAATGTTACTATTGAGGTTTGCCCTGAATAAATACCAGTTAGCATTTTTGTAGTATAGACGGGTTCTATTTGGTTCTTGTGGGTATGTGATGTTATGCAATTTAAAACGGACTGGAAAATGATCGGAGCAAAGTTCATGCAGAGCTATTGCTTCTCCGGATACATTTTTTGCAATAGCAATATCGACTGTAGATGGGTTATTGCCGTTATTTGGGTAGTTGGTGGGATCATTTGGGTAAATTATTATAACGTTTTGTTGATTCATATAATTATAAAGGATATTACCATTTGTATTTGGGGTACTTTTACTCCAGAATGCATTTTTTTGAATTTAAGTCGCATAATAGAATATGTTTGCCTGACTGTTTGAATATTATGTCTAAGTCAAGAGTGTTAAGTTTACAATCAGGGGGACTGTACCAAGTGGTGACTGTGAGTTGTGAATTAATTTTAATTTGCAATAGCTCTAAATGGCTTAGTTTGTTATCATGCAGTTGTAAGAATTGTATATTATTTTTGACTAAAAACGCTACTCCTCCCCTAAAGTTATCGCGATCTTTTCTTATAATGTCGTAGTTTTTTATCTTAAGTATTTTGTCTGGGGATAGTTTTGTTTCATTGATAGCTAGTATGTCAACGTTATATTTTTCGAGAAATATGCCAACTTCTCCAGTTTTGGTTATTAGCCCAGTAGCATTCCACAAATACATATTTAAGTTATTTATCGCCATTCGGGTTGAAAGTCATACATATGTAGGGTTTTTCATTATCGCTTTTAGTGTTTGACAGTTTTACATTTAATTCTTTGATCTGCTTTAGCATTTTACTTACATCAATCATAGAGTGAAGTTTGTCGAGTTCAGCCATTAATTCGCTGAATTTGTCGGCTCTGGTGTTGGTATCTTGTCTGGTTTGTGTTTGCGGTTGAGGCACTTGGGGGCCTTGCCAGGCATGTGTCCTTGTTTGTTGCTTGGGGAGAGCCGATGCTGCTGTCCTCCTAGCTTCACGTCGCACATGTTGAGGGTGGTCTATCTTCCTTCTCTTGCGGCGTTTCTCAAGTGCTTGTAGGTACGCTGGCTCCTTGGTGTTCTTTAATTTGGTGACTTTGGAAGCATCCAAGTCATCTGTGTTAATTAATGCTAAAATTTCTTCATCAGTCTTCTCCGTATATAGGTTGTAAATTATTTTTGGAAATTTACGATCTTCAGGAGATGTAAATGTATGGTATTCCGTTTTGGATGCATTGAACTGATCACTAAGTAGTTTCGTTTGTTCTTTTATCTTGCATTGTATCGTTGTTCTATTCGGTGTGTATTTCATGCGGAAATTTCCAGCACCAACTAATTCTTCAATAAAGGTCTCAAATCTAGTTGTGGACGTGGGTCTGGTGTGCACAACAAGTGGCTTTGGTTTTATCGGAGCTTTGGTCATTTTTCAAGGATTTTCCAGTATTTCTGGTTTTTCCATTTCCTGATCATTATCAGTATTTTTCGCTTCTTGTTCGATGTCAGCAGCTAGTGCATCATAACGATTTTTTGTGCTAACCGTTACTACCTGTCTCGGTGGTAGTAATTCGTTGAGTAGTTTTGCGTTGATCCTATTCGAGTTCTCTGAAGAAGAGGCGATTTTGCTGCTGGATTTCAGTCTTTTGGAAGCGATGACATCTTCTTCTATAGCATCCCTAGCAACTTTCAGAAGCCGTTGGTTAGGAATTGCCATGGTTTGGCTTGACAGCCGAAGGCTGCACTTTTTCGTTAAAGTTTCTTCTCTTTTGGCTTTTATTTTCACACTTTCTGCGCTTAACACGTTCGTACCACTTGAGGGTTCGAACGAGACTCGACATGCGACATAATGAAAACAAAAATGCACAACCATCCAGCGTCAAAACTCGGAGCGAACTGAATCATTGGTCGAGTGGGCCGACTAAACAATCGGTCGGTGTGCGCGCTTGCGGAGAGCTCCATACTGATATAGCAGTCGGCCGATAGTTTAGTTTGAACGCAGTTTAGTAGCCTATCAAACTTATTTATCGGCCGATACAAAATCGTTGTAGTATGCCGGCTTGCATACATCTTCATACTGATTATAAGCCCGACCAATCTATCGGCCGAAAGAAAGTTTGTGGTTTGCGGGGGCTCTAAATTGACCGTCTTCTTGACTTGACTTTTCAAAACGTCTTTCTTCCTTCGTCAAAGGAGATATCTCTGGCAACTCTTCTATCTCCCAAAAATTTGAAATCTCAAAATCGTTTATTGCTTAATTGCTAGACATATTAGATATTTTCGAATGCATGTGCATTGCTCATCTATAACCTATTCCAATTTTGTTTTTTGTAGTGTGGGTAGATATTTGCCCTACATAAAGCAGACTCGCAAATAACTCGGAACCGATTATCATGTTGATGCCACCGGGTTTATTAAAGTTTTGATGAACCAGTTTGATATTTGGTGGTTATACGTCTGGTATATTTTTTTACTTGACGAGCCAACGCCCAGACGTATAATCTCTTGCCTGATAATGATAACGTGCGCGCGCGCGCACTTATGAAACTTACTTAACACGTACCTACACCCTACACGGTTGTTAATGAGGAGCCAACGCCCCATCGCTCTGAAAATGTAATGCTGAAAACAATGTATGATATGCGCATTGATGTAACACATAAAAAGTTGGAAGTTCATGCACAAATTTATATCTATTTCTTAAAAGCTATTACATATTTTGCTGTTTTAAGTTCTAAAAATTTTCTGTCTTGAAGTTTGATTTGAAGCGTTGATGGAAAAGCGATTACCTACAATACAAAAAAAAACATAATAATAATACAACACTTTAAAAATTCTGTTTGGTGCGTGTTGCGTTCATTGCAAATTGTTTTTTTTTTACCTTTATAAATTATTGACACTTGAGAGCACTCGAGTCGAGCTAGGTCTTTGTTTATGTTGTAAAATTTTGTAAATCTCTTGGGTAGGAATATAATTAATTTCCCATTGTTAACCTCTGACTAATTTTTTCCTAAACTGGGTATGCACAAATTTCCATGATATGCATCCAATATTATGGGTGTATTTTTGTGGTACCTGAACGCAAAGAATTATTTTCACAGGCCGGTATGCCTGACTAGCAACGGAGTTCAGCTCATCCAAGCTATATTCTTTTTGTTTCTTTTCGTTTTGCTCATCGTCATATTCTTCATCATTTTCGAAACCGTTCATCTTCTTTGCTATCTTCGACGGATTTTCACCGTCATCCTCCTCTTCTTCCCTCAGATCAATCACTGATATTAACCTTTTAAGTTGTAATTTTTTCTTACTTATCGGTTGTTGTTCCCTGCTGGAACAAGTTTCCTACACCCTTTTTTCATCTGCTTCTTTGGTGTTTGGAATGCCAATTTTTCTTGTTCATCATCAGTAGATGTAATGTGAGAGTTCTAAGCCTGCCTCAGCCTCATTCCGCCTCAGCATCAGCGCCACCTAGCGGCGAATGTCAAAAGTGTTTTTGAGTAGCGAGTCGGTTATTGTAGAACACTGTAATTTGGTAGCGCGTCGGTAAGTGGTGAACTGTAAATTGAATGTAAGTGTTGATACGACGTTTTTGCGCGCGCGTTACTTACTTAACGTGCCAACGCCCCGCTCATAATTTGAATGTAAGTTTTGATACGACGACGACAGCATAATAAGGCGACTTCCAGCACAATTTCTTATGGGATTTAACATTAGGGTAAAATCTGCAAAAAGTGGTGGGGGAAAAGTGGGAGTGCAGTCACGTGATCATCATTGATGCTTACCTGTCTGGTAAAAATATAATGGCGTTAGAGTTGTTAACTTCAACAACCATTTTTTCACCGTAATTAGTCGTCATCTTCCACTCCAAAGTCATCATTGGAATTGGCACGTAAGAGTAGCCAGCGCTACGTTCCGGTTACGTATTGCTATAAGCGATTTTTCAAGCATTTTAGGTCACGTTGAAATCCTTGCGTTCCAGAATGGAGCGCAATATTAATAAAACGAATATAAAATTTCGTCGTTTTTATGCTGTTTTACGTGTAAAACGCGGGAATAAAAGCTCAAAACGATAGCTGTTTTGCTAAAATAAGCTTATTTTCAAGCATTTTAGATCCGTTGAAATCACGTTTAAATAAAGGCTTAATGGCAAACAAAACGAATAGCCAATTGTCGTTTTTGTAGCTGTTTTGCGTTAAAGCGCCAGTTAGCTCAAGGCGTGCTGTTTGGCACAAGGCAAGCACATTTTCAGCATTTTGAATCGTTGAAGTCGGTATTTACGAAGGCTACTCCAGCGCCCTCAAGCTGCTCCGAAAAGGTGAGGGGCTGACCCAGAACCCTCCAAAAAGACCCTCCGTTAAGGCACTCCAGAATTGCAATCTGCGTTCGTTTCGACAGAGAGTACGGCACTTCCGGGTGCTGCTCGGCGAGTGCTGGCGCTCCGGGTCGGAGAGTCGGCCTGTTCAGTCCGGACTCAGGCCAGGTGATCGAGTCAGGCCCCTTTTTTTCCCCTTCAAGTCTTTACAGTTGATTTCAAGCGGGAGCTTATGGCAACTCTACATCAATTGAGGAGTACGGAAGTACTCACTTACTCTTTAGTTGTTTGTTAGTTGTCGCATTTTTGCGGCGATGTTACGGATGAATTCCTTCTCGAACAACTCCATTTTTTCAACCATCCTGATTCTATCTTCCGCCGCCTTTACTGCGGGATCGGTAACGTTCGCTGATCTCAACAGATCCGAATTCCTCACGTAATAGGGAAGTCCGGAGATTATTCTCAGAATCCTCCTCAGGATGGCGTAAGGTTTTTTCGGTCTCCAGCTGTGATCCTCCGCGCACACTTCGCTGCCATACATAAGCTGGGCGTACACCGTTGCCTTCATAATTGTTACCTTTGTATTGGCACTCAAGGCTCGTGACCACCATATAGAGTTTAACTTAAATGAAGTTCGCTGTGCCAAAGCGCACCTCATTGCCTCATGTGCGTCCCATTTTCTCTTATTGTCAAATTTGACGCCCAGATATACAGCACATCGTTGAACTGGAATGTACTCAGGCCCAAACCGGATCCGCTCTATCTTGAAACCTAGCTTTTTGCCAACTGCCAGAATCTCAGACTTTTTTCTATTGATCGTCAATCTGTTAGTTCGACAGTACTGGCTAAGCTTTTCAAGAGCATTTTCTAGGTCTCTCTCGACCTGACTCCATGTTCTAGCCGCAACGACTAAGGCAGTATCATCTGCAAACTGCAACACTTTGGCTTTCGATGACTTTTCGATCTCGGTCGGTAGGTCGCCCACCAGGATATTAAATAAGAGCGGGGATAGTGGACCACCTTGCGGAAGGCCATCTGCAGCTTCGAACACTGAAGATCTGTGCGTGCCTTTTACACAGACAAAGCGTCGCTGATAAATGATGTTGCGTAAAATTTTGACTATGTCACTAGTGAAGTTTGAATTTAGCATCTTGTTTATAACAGTATTTCGGCAGACCGTGTCGTACGCTTTTTACAAGTCTATAAAAGCGACGAGCATCTTCAACTGTAGCGCGTCCGCCTCCCTGGCCAACATGGCTAGATGTGCCGCCTGTTGTACTGCCGATGATGCTTTAGTGAAGCCGAATTGAGCATCGTGGACGGCTGAGTTTTCTTTGACCTGGCTCGCAAGAGTTGGCAACAAAAGTGATTCATACAGCCTAGCAATGACTGGAATTACACTGATCGGTCGGGTGTTGGCAACCTTGGTGGGATCTTTGTCTTTCTTGGGGATTGTAACCACCCTGGCAACCTTCCATTCACCGGGGTACCACTCTCCTTTATTAATGTCGTTGAAGATGGAAACCAACGAGATTACTGCATTTTCCGGCAGCAGTTTAATAGCTTTCGGAGGCAGGTTATCTACCCCTGGAGCTTTGCGGGGTCTTAGCGCTTTAATTGCTGTCTTGACCTGATCAATAGAGAAGTTTATAGCCTCACTAGGTTGGAAAGTAGGCACTACCGGATCTCTTGAAAGTGCGGTCTCCCGCTGCTTATTTACAAACTGTCCTCTTAAAAATTCCCCAGTAATTTGCGCTTTATCTGCGTCTTTGAAATGTAATATGCCATCTTTATCCTCAATCGGCGCATTCGGGGCAGTCCTTATCCTGAGCCTTTTGATAATTGGCCAGAGAGCTTGTTTTTCCTCGCAATCTTCTAATGTCTTTTCCCAGGACCGGGTCGAGTGGTTTCTGAGCATGCTGCGAACATTGCTGACTAGCTGGTAGTAAGTATTTTTATCATTGCATAGTCCAGAACGCCTCCACTTGGTCTTCGCTCTATTTTTACGTTGGATCAGTTTCCTCTCGTCCGCATTAAGGCCAAGCGGGTTAGTCGCTGTTTGACTCCCGCTTATTTGTAATATTTAATAAATCAGTTGTTGATATTAATTCTAAATTGAAGATATCGTTAAAAGCGAGACTAAATGTTCGTTCGATTGACTTGTTGTTAAATCAGAAACATAATATGCTTGCGCGTATTTTGAGAAAAGGTCTATTATGGTAAGAAATTTGCTTTTGTCAAATGAGAATGTGTCAATGTGAATGACTTCGATTGGTTTTTTTAGCAAGCATCGGACTTAACATTGGAATTTTGTAAGATTTTTTTTCATATTTAGCCTGAAGTCATAACATAATTGATTATCTAATTTACTTTCTCGTGCATTTATGGCCAGTAAACTTCCTTCTTCAGGTGGTTTACGGTTTCGGTCGTAGGTACCATTATGATTTTTGCGTGTCTTGACAAATCGTGTTAGATTTAACAATTTTGAGTTCGTCATTATAGATTTCTTGACAGGCTTGTATAAATGGAATTTCTAGCCTTTTGTCTTTAAAATAAATTCCGTAAAGTGTATTTAGAATTAAACTAGCTGACCCGGCAAACTTTGTTCCGCCTTGCTATATATTATATATCTTATATAAAGAATATAATTATATAGAATATAGAGATAGTAACTGACCCGGCAGACGTTTTGACATATAAATTTTTTCTAGTTTCCAGATATATTCCAGTGTAGACAAAAAGTAACTTACTTATTATAAGTGTGTAAGTATGTGGTATATGCGTGAAATAGGCATAGAGCGCAATGTACAATAAGGGAATATAAAAATAACAAACAACATTAATACTATGGCGTGAACAATATTTTTTGTTAGCCCATCTTTAGCGCGCACAAAACTAACTGGATGGTTTACCCACTCGTGAGCATGCTACGAAAAACATGGTGTGCTCAAATTTAAGCCACAAATAGACATCGTTTGGCATTGGGATTTATTAATTGTCATGGCAAATGCCAATCTAATGGGAAACTGAATACGTTTGAATTGAATTGGCACATCTGTTGGTATAATCGGAATCCGTGGTATCAATATATTTTCACCTTTGAACTTGCCATTTAAAATGCTGGTTTCGATAACGTTTTTTATCAATTTTTGAATGACTAATCGCGTACCGTTGCACAGCCGTGGGGGGTTTAAATTCCGAAGCAAAATAATTGGAGATCCTACCTTCAATTGTAAATTATGCCGTGGCATGCCTGGCAAATCCAGTGAGTTTAGAAATTCTGTAGGAAAATTGACAACTTCTCTGGCATCGCAAACTGTATCAATAGATTTATATGATACCAAGTTTCCTGGCAACAACTGTTGTATATTCAAATTTAAATTGTCAACGTCTGCATTTTTTTTTGTTCTAAAATAGCTCTTTCCGCAAGCCACTCATGATTTATGTACTGTGTGTGTATGTACATCGGGAAATATTTGTTGAATGAATTGAATGAATATCTTGCGAATCAGCGATTGTGCAGAAATCGGACGGAGATTTTACACGTCCAATTTCATTTGTAGCAACTTTTCCATTACCGATATCTAATAGCGGTTTTGAGAATGTTTCAGCGGATGGATCTTGAAGCATTTGAACGCGCATATTTACTTTTACCTGTACTTTTTCAACATTACGCCACAATTGAGATGATGTTAAGCAAGCGTTGATCTCATCAGCATAGGTTGAACGTGGAATGACGGGAAGTGTTTGTCTGAAATCACCTGAAAGCACTAACAGCCCTGTTCAACACCTCAATTGAATGTTTGTGTGCCATAGTACATTCATCCCAGATGATAATTTTACACTGTTTCAGTACGGTGGCAATGCCCGATGATGCAACGGCCAATGCGATGCCATTATATGATCGTATTTCAGCAAGAATTAGTGAAATAAGGAATGTTTTGCCAGTTCCACCTGGTGCATCTAAAAAGTAGAACCCACCTTGTCTGGTTCTTTGTTCGCCATTCATTAATGGGACATTCCGAGTAACAATCGCTGCCATTTCTACAGTGTTGTACTGCAGTTCACGATTCATTTTAGTGTTAATTAAATCAGATGCATTTCGATTTGGCGAATTCATAGCGAAATGAGTGAGTGGTAAGTTGGTAATGACAATACAAAGATCCTCAATAGCAATCAATGCTTCGTTGTACATAGCGTCGCTGAATGTTATCGTTAGATCGTTGCACCGTGTACGATGTTGATGCAAATATCGTCAGTCATGGAATTTTTGTGATTATCCCACAATATCTGTGCCCGAGCTGGGAAACATGTAGTCCATACTATAGCGAATAGTAGACGAATTTGTATTGCTGTTCAGTTCAATGCAGCTTTAGCAAGCATACACTCCCACTGGTTGTCGTCTTCCAGCAAGCCTAGTGCAAGACATGCGTCTTTATATGTTGGATACTGTTGCCCATTCACTTTACGTATATCTTGAAATGATAATGGGTCAGTGACATTAACCAACAACAGTCGTAGATAAAAGCACTCAGTGTGTCTTGGATTGACTGTAATTAATCGCTCCAAAGCGTTCAATTTAAATAAACTGAGATATGCATCAACTGGTGAGCCTTGCTTGTGGGGCATCCATTTTTTTGTTTGAGCCCATGTGAAATAGCGTGGTACTTGTGAATAGAGTAATGTTCTTGCAAAGGCACCAAAATCATCCGCACTATTACACAATTCAAAAAATGCAGTGAGTGTAGTTTTAGGTGGATTTGTAGCACGTTCAATCACTGTATCGTTGGCAAAATACACGCTGACCGTTTTCAGCTAACTGACGGCTAACTGAACAACTGCTGGATCCCGTTCATGAATTGGAAAAGCGAAGATTCGCCAAGCAGCTTCATTGGAGCTGTTATACCGACCAATTTGGTAGAGCGTAATTTCATCGTTTTTATTAATTGGAGGAGCATTTACATTCGTATTTTCTACTCAAAACACAGCCATATCACTGCCTTTATGAACATACTTGCAAATATATTTGATGCTCTTCACAGAACTGCAAAACTCAACATTAATATGAGCATTGTATGTCTTGCTTAGCAGAGGCGAATACGGCACCACCCAACGATTGTCAATCTCAATGTCAACGTTGCTGATATTTTTAATAAATGATTGTCCACATGGGATTTCTTCTGACGATATATTGATATCCGTTGGTATTTGTTATCGCATCATTAGTGAACATTTAGAAAATTAGCAATACGTAACCGGAACGAAGTACAACAATTACTTGCCTGAGTGCTCCGGACTATTCGGTTTGTCTTTGTTTATTTGAAAAGCTTGCATTTCCTCCGTCCTGCTCACAGGTATGATGTTATTGTCGTTCCGGGCGTACAAATTCAAGTACTGCTCAATGGGGAGGTTGTCGACCACTAGTTTGCATCTTACGGGCAGTTTGGATATGACCATTGATTTAGTTTTTGCTGTTGATAGTTGCATGTTGAATTTATTGCTTTTTTGTGATTGCGAAAAGTAATCGTAGGTTGTTCATTCTCTGCAATTATTACTGTGTCAACAGCATAACATACTATTTTCATTTCTCCTGTTGACAGTTAGTAGAACACACTAAAAAGGCAGTACTAGGCTAAATCTGGTCCAAAATGATGTTGAAATAGTTGGGAGGGCTTAGGAGTCTCCTTGTCATATATACCGTTTGGTGTTTATACTGGTTTTGTCAGTTGCTTATTGATTGAAATATGCGTTTTGTACGTATTCAGTTGCTTTATGATTTCCACTGTGTTTGGATGGCATTTCCGCTTGGCTTAGATGGATATCACGTCGCTTAGCCTGACTCTGTCAAACGTTTTGGTTAAGCCAATGAAACACATAAATGCGGGTTTCGCGTATTCGGATCGACTTTTTCTCTACTACTTGTCGTATTATAAATATTGCGTCCTGTGTTGATCGATTTCTGGCCTGAACCTGGTTGTTCTTCTGAGTATGGTAATCATTTGCTGTATTTTTAAAGCGCGAGTTGGTGAATACTCTCTTATAACTGTGCTAACAAGAGTAAACCCTCAGTAATTTTCATAATTCTTTTTGTCGCCCTTTTGAATATCATCTGTATGGCTATACTCGTTTTCCACTCTTAATTTATTTGGTAACGCAATATTTTGAGCTAACGTTCTTGTTTGTTTCAGACTGTAATAATATATTTATGGATATTAATTTAAATTAATTACGTTCACTAATTTAATTGTTTTGTTTAAATGCGGTTAATGACTCCTGCTTTCCTCATAGTGGAATGGGAAGTAATGCGACATGATCTCGTTGTTTTATGTTGATGCAATATACGTCTTGCCCCTTCCAGAATATAAGCGGATAGTGGAGAGCGTCAGTGCGATATGTATCAGCAATGTATTGAAGATTATAATTTCTTCCTCAAATCACAATTTCTCGTATACCTGTACGATCGTCAACCATGATTCCAGCATCGCCTTCAACAACAGGTGCATTGAATCTACGAATATGTTCTCCAGCTGGTGTTTTATCAGGATTAATGACAATAGCGTGATTATCGCTTTGTAATTTGTGCATGTTTGATTTGAATATTTTCAATAATTCATTGTGTTCGTTCAATAGAGCGTCCAAGTCGCTGACTATGCGCCTGGCAAAAATTGAATCAAGGTAATTATAGTCACAACGTGCACTCACGCGATTGGCAACTGCGCTTCCTGAATCCTCGCCGCCCATGAAGTAGATTTGTAAAAATTTATGTGGTCGGTTTTCGGTACTTTCTGCGGAAAACAAATGGAGTCCATTTCTTATATAAACTTGGCTTCTGATTTTGAATGTAGAATTGTATTGTTGACCATTAGCATTGATATTTCGAACTATTTCTGTTGCTCCAAACGATGTCATTTGAAAGCATGAGTTGAATGTTCGAATTGACTTCAGGAATACGTTAGAATTTGGATCCGTGCCGATTAGTAAACCGTTCTAATGGTTCAGGTGGTGTTTCAATTTCAGGTAGTTGCACTTTTCCTGACGCGCAACACATCCCAGGTGACTCATTTTTGAATTTGAGAGCATGACAATGCGAACATTCCTTATCCATAGCACCAATTACTACTTTTGAATGAGCATAATATTCAATATCGGGCTTAAACTGGAATGCTAGACGTCAAAATGAATCAGAGGTAAATACACGATGTACCTGTTGGCGTTGTTGATCATTTGTTCTGGTCTATTAGCCGTGAAACGGCGTGATTGTCGTTGTGCTAATCTTTTTACTTCATTCCGCTCAGCTCGTGTATCTTCCGATTGTTCTTGACGCAATTGCTCCATGTTCACACGTGCATCAGCATTTTGTTGCTGGATTTGTTCTTCGGTTCTTTGGGATCTTTTATCTCTAGTACTTCTGGACTTGTACTACGGCTCAAATCAGCCCCTTTACGTTTTCTTGGCATTGCTCACTATACAAAACACATAATATATAAATGGAATTCATGAAATTACATATTGTTTGTAAACGTTATAGTAATAGTTAGGGCCAGGATTATAGCGAAAATATTTGTTTTATGAAAAAAAAATGGAATAATTTATTTACTATTTTGCCGTTAGGATTAATGAAATTGTTGTGCCAGGTAGGATGTCGTGCGTTCTTCTTCTTCTTCTTAATTTAAGCTTGAGCTTGAGTAGAAACTGGCTTTTTTTCCTGGGATAATGATGTCCAACTATCTCTGCCACCTTTTGTTTGCCTATCTTAACCTCTTCCGGGTGGTAGTGTTACTGTTACGATTTTTGCTGGGTCTGTTGTCGGCCATTCTTCCAACGTGGTCGTTCCATTGTGTCTCCGTCTATTTCTTGCCGCATCTTACTACATCCTGCATCTGACATTTTTCTCGTATGGCCTCGCTTCTCTTATTTTACTGCCGTGTGTATCCTGTAATTGATCTCAGTGTTTGCATTTCAGTTGGTTCCAACATGCATTTTGTAGTGGTGGTGTTCGCTCTCTGGTTTCAGGCGGCATAAGGGAGCACCGGTCTGGACGGCAGGTTTTATATATGTGCGTCTTTTGTTTTGAAGTGTCTATGACCGTGCTCTTCCATATTGCGGTGTGTATGCAGCTGGCGATACGTGCTGCTTTCATGGTTTGATAGTGGACCTCATCATGCAAATTTCCCAGCTTGAAATTTTTGTGCCTGTGGATAAACAAAACTTCATTACTTGTTCGCTAATCGGGCTACCTTTCACTCACAATTTTGCACCTGATTGGGTGTTTAAGTAGCAGTCATACATTTGGTTTTACTGCTTGATATTTTCATGTTGAGTTGTTTGACTTTTGTCCGAATCGGTACAATGCTTTTTTTCTTTAAGTTCATCTTCCGAGCTCGCTATTAAAGTGGCGTCATCCGCGTAGCATATACAGTTGGATCTTAGCGCGTACCCATTCTGTTGCCTCTTCGTTCATGCATGCGTGATTCCCCACGACTATTTGGTCCATTACGGTGTTAAAAGAAGCGGACTGGAGACCGTCTCCCCTTCGTCTTATGCCGGTGTTTGTGTCAAAATGGCTTTGATAATTTGTTATTGCTCATTTTAATTTTTGCGGACTTGCTGGTATTTAATAAGCTTGTATCAGTGACAGTAGTGGAGCCCTCTCCAATGCCTCGCTTGCAGCGCTGCTGTTACATCGGTGAGTTGTACCTATCAAAGGCCTGTGTCATGTCTATAAAACATATATATGCAGGTTTGTTATATTCTCTAGCTTTTTCCATAATTTGCCGGAGAATATGTATTGCGTCGGTGGTAGATCGGTTTTTACGGAAACCTTGTTGTGCCTCGTTGATGTTAATAAGGTCTGAGATTTTTTTGGCCAGGATGCGGGTAAACAGTTTCATGACATTGTTGAGAATCGTTATCTCTGTAGTTGGGCGCGGAAGGTCTTTTCACCTTTTGAAGATTGGGATGGTTACACCGTCTTCCATGTATTCGGTGGTATGGTGTTAGCGCGATTATTTTTTGGAATAAGTGCGCTGTCTTAAGATTTCGCCACACCCTTTATAAGTTCATTTGTGACGTTTTCTTCATCAGGTGACTTTCTGTTTTTAAGTTCTTTCATTGCATCCCTTGTGTCATCCTCCGTTATCTCAAGCAATGTGGTGTTTTCGTGTGATGTTCTGTTTGTAGTGTTCGGTGTTCCTGCCTGGTGGGTGATGTTGTTCCCATATAGAGTTTTAAAGTGGGACATCAGTTTCTCATCTTCGATGCTAACTATGGTGGTATCCTCGTTCACTTCCCTCTTCATGGATCTTAGAACCTTCCATATAAGTTTTTGTGCGCCATAGAAGTCCATCTGCATCTTAGTATAAAATTCGGCCCAGAATTCCTTTTGGATTTCTCGGATTCGAGTGTTTACCGAGTTTCTCACTGCTTTATAGTTGTTAAAAGTATCTGTAGTGGGATTGCTTTTATAAGTAAGGTAGGATTGTCTTTTAAGTGCTGTTATTTCCTTTACTTCTGGGGTATACCATGGTTTTGACTTCTTTTTCTGTGTGTTCTTTAATGTTCTGGATCCTATGGCTTCATCTGCTGCCCTTTTTATACTGTTTAGAATTTTCTGCCAGGTTATTTCAACAGTGTCTTCTTCATTGATCTGTTCACTAATTAAGTGTTGCTTCAATCTCTTCTCATATAGCTGCATAGTACTTTCGTTCCTGAGCGATTCGATGTTGTATTTTGTTCTTGTTTCTGCAACTTTGATCTTTTTTGGATTGTGATGTATTCGAGTTTTGCATAGTACAAGGTTATGGTCTGAGTTGATATTGGCAGAGGTAAGGCTGCATACATCTTCAATCAAGCTTGGGTTAATTGCTCTGTTGGTAACAATGAAATCAATCATGGATGTATCTCCACGGTTGTTTGAAAATGTGATTTTGTGCTGGAGTTTGTGTTGGTAGAAAGTATTGTTTATACGTAGTTCATTTTGGGCACAGAATTCAATCAGCATTTCTCCTCTATCATTAAGGTCTGACTCATTAAATCTCTGCTTGATGCCTTTTATCGCTGTATTGCCAATACGTGCGTTCATGTCTCCCATTATGAATATTCGGTCATTTGTCGCAATTTTGTCAAGTTCTTCCTGCAGCTTTTCTAACCATTCTCGTGTCGTGCGTTAAAGTCACCTAATACTACGGAATTTGGATTTGTGAAAAATGAATTTAATTCGTAAATGTTAGGTGGGTTTTTAGGCGGATTTTGGTAATTAGTGATTTGGGTATTTTCTACTAGGATACTAATGGAATTTTGAGTGTCAGGTAGTTTGTCAAACTGGATTTCTTTTTTAATGTAAATTGCTAAGTTATTGTTATGGATTAGGTTATAGTTCACTATTTTTGGGGGAATTTGGACGGATTTTGTGGCTTCTTGTACGCATGCAATATGAATTTTGTTTTTTTCAAGGAAATGTCGAAACGTAAGGATTTTGATTTTATTGTGAAGGGAACATGCATTCCAGGTAGTTAATTTCAAAATACGGGTGGATTTACGAGCCATAATGTTTTAAAATAATAATTAATTTCTCCACCTCCGTTGGAGCGCTATCTAATTCTGGTTTAATTTTTTCGAATTTGGTTAGGATGTTTACGTTGTCAAATATTTCCCTTCCGTTTTTTTGCTCTTTATTCAATGCTTTATAAAAAGTGTTTCAGTGATCGGATTTAGTTCAAATATGCGCCGTTTTGTTCGATAATCTGTTTCCATCTAGACGGCAACTTCATAATACCTCTCTCGTAGAAGCCCCCCTTCTTATTTGCGAAATAAACTCGGACAGCCACTTTCACAGTTTTTGAGTCTAACTTACACAATCATGGCATTCGCGGACAGGGAACAGGTGGTAATCACTTGGCGCTTGCGTCCGCCGAAAGTGGTCTATGCACAAAAACCTCCCTATCTGAGCTCCCGCAGCTTCTTGACGAGTCATCAACGAAGTGTGTGGTCTGGCGTTGTCCTGGTGGAACACTACACCCCTTCCTACACAATTCTGACGCTTCTGGTCGATTGCCCGTTTCCAAGCGGTCCAGTTGTCGCAGATGGTAGAATTGCTGCCTGGCCATATGGGAGCAGCTCATAGTGGATTCTCCAATCCCACCAAACACACAGCAAACCTTCCTGGCTGCCAACCCGCCTTGGTCACTGTTTGGGACGATTCACCGGCCTTCAAACTACGACCGTTTTCGCTTGATATTGTCGTATGTGATCCATTTTTCGTCGCCAGTCACCATCCGCTTCAAGAATGTAATGAGTTCGTCTCCGTTTCGGCGGCAGCATATCGCAGGCGTTGATTCAATCCACAAGGTTTTTTGCGTCAAATCATGCGGCACCCAAACATCAAGCTTTTTTGTATCCAGCCGTCTGCAGATGGTTTAAAATGGTTTGCGGATCAACTTCACCTCCCAAGGATGTCAATGAGATGCCACATGCCGGTCTTAACTCGGATGTATTCCCGGCGATTTTATCGGTATTTGTCGTCACAGGTCTTCCGCCGGCTGGCTTATCCATGGTGTCGTTTTCACTGGCTCTTGAATCGTCGAAACCATTCCCGTGGTTCGAAGTGAGAGAGCACCATCCTCCAAACACCATTAATCTCACGGAACGTTTAGCGGATTTGCCTTTAACGAAGGAAAACTTTAAAATAGCGCGAATTTCGGCGTTAGTGAACTCCATGTTTACACGTCTATAACTGTTGAACGCAATATCCAAACTAATCATGCATAGCGTCGTTTTGTAGGTCATGTCTAGACCTTTCATCACATGTATAGACTTGCCAGATACGAGCTCTGTAGCGCTTTGTACATAGCCGCGAATTTCAAAAGACAAAAAGGCGGAAGGGAGATATCTGACAACTTTTCGTGCTGTTGGGTGGCAAGGGAGGGTTACTTGTTGGCTTTGGAAGATTTTGTGTTGGTTTTAGTTTAGGTAATGGGAAATTATGTTCGTTAATGTTGAATTTGGGTGTTTTGTCTACTATTTTAATATTTTTATCGTTCACATACCGCGTATATGCTGGGCATCCGGTGTAATTCGCTGGGTGGGGTCCGCTGCAGTTGGTGCACTGTAGAGGGGTATCTGGGTTCTTGTCGCAGTCCTGGGTGTGGTGAGATTCCGTGCACTTCACGCACCTTGGAGCGCTGTGGCAATTTTTCTTTCCGTGTTCGAACTCCTGGCATCTGCGGCACATGGTGACTTGTTGGACGGCTGTACGCTTCGTACCGTATATGCGCACCATCGATATTGTTTATGTCGTTAATGTTTGTTCCGGCACTCAATTTTAGCAAATATTATCTGCTTTCAGTGTCTTTTCTACTTTATAGTTTTTTAACGTATAGAACTCCTGGGTATTGTTGTTTAAAGAATTTCCCCAGTTCTTCCTCTTCTAGGTATGGTACTGTTTTTATGACAATGGATTTCGTGTTTTCTGCTTTTTTACGGTGTGTAAAATATTCGAGGTTGTTTAATCCCTCGAATAATTTTAGCAGTTTATTATAGTCTTGTTCGTTTTTTGGCTATAATTTTAGTTAGATTGCCGAAATATATGATTGGCACAGATGATGTAGTGGCAGTGATTTTTTTGTGAAATTGTTTGTAATCAACAATCTTTGATTTCACAATTATCGGTAGCATATTTGTGTTGTTGTGGTTGCGGGTGGCTGCGGTTTCATCTATTCCCATGTTTTGCGTCGTCGGCGTTGGGGAGGTCCTTTTTTCTTCCTGGCTGGAGTTGTTCCTCCTCTTTCTCTTGTTTTTTAATTCTTGGAATGGCTCGTCGTTGTCGTCATCCTGGGGTTGGTCCTCTGCGCCGTGGAAGTCGGTGTCGTCGTCATCCATCGGCAGCTGGGCGTATCTATTGTTGGAAGAAAGCAAATAATTATTTTTTTCTGTCCTGTCTTAGGTATTTATGGTATATTTTTTCGTTAACGGCCATGGTATGTTCGAGTTGGTTTATTTTGTTTTTTAAAAAAACATTTTAGTCACGAAGTTGTTTTATTAAAGTTGCGAAGTCAAGTTCGTTTGCGGTGGTCGTCATCGGGTGCGCAGTGGAAGTCAGTTGGTTGATATCGCGTTGCGACATGTTGATGTAGTTGTTGTCTGTTCGGAGGTTCGATCGAGACTGAAAAAAATATGTATATCTATATCAGGGGATAGTCGCGGCACCGGTCAGAGCGGAGGCTCCGCCCACTTCTATACTGGCAGTGGGTTCGACAAGGCACGCGCACGGCAAAAAAAATCTACAAATATCCCCTCCACCACCGCAAAGCGCTCATTTCTCGTTCGACCGTCGTCGCGCACGTCAGTCGGCACGTCTGTTCGTTTGGTTTGCATATTCCGCTCAAGTTCGCGTCTTCGAATCACCATGTCCGGCAGAGGCAAAGGCGGTAAAGTGAAGCCGCAAACAAAGTCGCTCATATCGATATGCGCCGGACTCCAATTTCCAGTGGTCGCATCCACAGGCTGCTGCGTAGCTGCAACTACGCTGAACGCGTCGGTGCCGGTGCACTGGTGTACCTCGCCGCCGTTATGGAATATCACGCGAAGTGCTGGAATTGGCCGGTAACGCCGCTCGAGATAACGCTATTGTTCCCGCATCATCCCACTTGCAACTTGCCATCCGCAAACACGAGGAATTAAAACAAGCTGCTCTCGGCGTCATAATTGCGCAAGGTGTGGTGTTTACAAACATCTGCCGTGCTTTTGCCGAAGAAAACCGAAAAGAAGCCTTAAATATCGACATCAATATCAAACGGCCCTTCTCAGGGCCACAAAATAATAAATTTATAGAAAAATTGCCCTCACACACACACACATAAACCTATAATTTTTTATGTTTGAAATAAAAGTGCACAATACAATAAATTAGATTTGTTTTATATGTTTTGAAGTAAAAATATACGCGTCGTGCGCGTGTTGTGTGCTCGCAAATAAAACGAGAAAAAACATGTATTAAAAAAAGAACGAAGATACGCAAGTAAAAAGAGAGCGAACATACAATAAAAAGAGAACGAAGTTACGCGAATAAAAAGAGAGAGAACATACATTAAAAAGAGAACGAAGATACGCAAATAAAAAGAGAAAAAACATATATTAAAAAGCAGGAAAACAAAATAAAAGGCTGGTATATATAAAATAAATTTCCAAAAAAATATTTCACATTCACACTGTGAAAACAGTCAACGCTCAAATCTAAGCCTGCAACGTTGAAGGTTTGACCCTGCGATTTATTAATGGTTATTGCAAAAGATGTCTTTACCGGAAACTGTAAACGTTTAAATTGGAAGGGTAAATCCGATGGTATCAGAGGGATTCGGGGAATCAATACATCTTCTCCGGTACCACATCCTGTGAGTATTGTACACTCTATTATGAAAGTTTTCAATGATTTTACCAGCAAACGCGTGCCATTGCAAAGTTTAGGTGGATTCAGGTTTCTTAATAAAATAACAGGGCAACCTACTTTCAACACCATTTTGTGAGGAGGGAGTCCAGACGGGTTCAAAGAGTTTAGAAATTCTGTAGAAAAATAAACAGCTTCTTCCAAATCGAGAACAGTATCGACCGAGTAGTATATTTTCGTCGGCGCATCAATCTTTGAAATAATCAAGTTATTTACTTTATCTACTTGTTCGTTAGTTGGTGACAGAATCGCTCTTTCTTTAAACCAAGATATCGTCTTATAACTTATGTTATCAATGTCAGGATATACATTGTTGACTAACTCTTGGATGTTGTCTATCAAAACGCAAAGGTTTTCTAGGTCAATCCTTCCCTCACTTTGTGTCAACTCTCCATTGCCAACTTTTAGCAGCATCTCTGGAAATAGCCTGTACTCACGTGAAGATGACGAAACCCTCATATTAGTTTTAAGCTGTAATTTATTGACATGTGGCCAAAGGTTGGATCTTTTTAGGCAAGCATTTATTTCGTCAGCACGTGTTCCTCGAGTCACAACTGGTAGGATTTGACGGAAATCTCCTGAGAACAGAATTGTACATCCACCAATAGGTGAATTTTTGTTGCGCAAATCGCGCATTGTCCTATCCAGTGCTTCCACAGACGTCTTGTTTGACATGGTAGCTTCGTCCCAGACTATTAATGAGCAGTCACGCATCAATTTTCCTGTATTGCTCTGTTTAGAAACACTACAGACGCTATTATTATCATCGGTGGTGACTTTCAGCGGGAGCTTGAATGTGGAGTGTGCGGTTCGGCCTCCTTCCAAAAGCGTTGCGGCAATGCCGGATGACGCAACAGCTAACGCAATTTTTCCGATAGATCTCACTTTTTTTTAAAGCAGATTGATTAAAAATGTTTTTCCTGTACCTCCTGGGGCATCAAGGAAAAACAATTTCCCTTCATTGTTATCAATTGTTGATAGTAATGCAGCGAATACTTTTTTCTGATCGATGTTTAATCGTGGCTCATCTTGAGCTATATTTTGTAAAAGTCTCGTTTGATCGTATGATGTTTCTCTTGTGTATTCGGCACTGTTAGTTAAATCTGAGTTAGTAGTATTAGCTGGCATCGGCAGCCCAAAATCCTTGATCGATTTACCCGAAAGTAATTGCACTACTTTGTTCAATTCCAATAATGCTTCGTCAAATATGTTTTGATCATATTGTACATCATCTGAGTTTAACTCTCGCCGTCGTCGAATCAGAATATCACTGGCCATATTTTCTAGAAATTTATTCCATAGATTAACAGAATCAGTTACTTGACAAAACACTACTATGACGGCAAATAAATATCTTAATGATGTAGCTGAACTACAAACAGCTGCTTCTGATAATGTGTTTTCCCAGTGAGAATCGTCTTCCAAGAGCCCCATAGCTTTGCATGCTGCTTGATAAGTATTATAAACAACACCTTGTACAGTTCTTAGGTGTGCAAAGGATGTCGGTCCTTTTACAATATGCAGTAACATTCTCAGATAAAAGCATTCGCTGTTGTTGGGATGAACCACGTAGACTCTGCCAAGAGCATCCGTTTTTTTTACTCCGGGGAAACCATCAACCGCAGTACCTTGTTTTCGCCGTTGAAAAGTTTTAGAACTCTGGTTCCATGTATAGTAACCTGGAACTCTGTCATATGTCAGTGTTTTGGCGAAGTCATCTTGAGCACATAACTTGAAGAATGCCGTCAATGTTGTATCCCGCGGGTTATTAACAACTTCTTGTATATTGTTCTCTGTGAAATATACTCTTTGTCCATTTTCTAAATGAACTGCAAGGTGGACAATTGTGGGAGCCCGGTCGTGCACTTCGAATGATAAAACCCTCCATACAGCTTCAGAGCTGCAGATGTAACGTCCAGACTGATATTTTTCCCCTTCATTTGGTGATTGTATGCTGAAAGTGGCTTGATCACTGCCTTTATTAATGTACTTAGTAATATATTGAATTGACTTTACTGAATTGCACAACTCTACGTTGATGTGGGCATCAAAAATTTTCAAAAGGAGCGGATTATAGGGAACAATCCATCGGTTATCAATATCATGGTTTCGGACGGTAGCATTTTGCCCACCCTCTTCTGGCGATCGTCGACGATATTTGGGATATCCGTCATCGCTAGTACTTGTTTGAGTTTGGAACGACTTCGGAAATTTTTTGCTGCATTTAGAATCTCGCATACATGGAGAATTCGGATTTAAAGTCCCGCAAGGGCCGTGTACCATATGTTTCTTTACGATTTCGTACAGGATAGGATCTTCATCTTTATCCGGTAATTCAGCTGAAATAACCCTGTCAAATTGGTTTGGTCTAATTTTGTTCACTAACCACACCAACAGGTGTACATGTGGCAAGCCACGTTTCTGCCATTCTATTGTGTACATATGACAGCGCGGCGGACCGAATATATGAGACTTGTTAATGAGGTGCAGGAGTTTCTTTACTTTTAAATGGAAAACTCTGTTAACTATATCGTACCTGTCTTGTGGAGTTAAATTGGTGTAAATATTTTCTTTGATTTCCGGCCAATTTGGGTTACATGTTGCAGTTTTAAATAAATCAGGTTTGCCGTAATTTCTTACGTAAGTCATAGCGTCTTGCGATTTTTCGTGTAAATATCGAGGTCCACCTGTGAATGATGAAGGTAGTATAACCAACTGCCCAATGCCGTTGCGGTGTTCAATCGCCTGTAAAGCATCTTGAAGATGAACGTAATTTTCAGCTCTCAATTTAGTTTGATTATTACGAATGTAGGCCAATCTCTCAGATTCAATTTTCGCATATTGATCTACCAAGTATTGGTTTGTTAACATCCCATATCTAAGCAAAGTATTGAAATTGTTACGTCTTGTCATTATACGGTAGCAATAGTAGTTCATACATGACACTGTTTTACGCAGAGGTGTATCACCGATTGGGTCAACTTGAGAAATATTAATGGCATTACCATTTTCTCCACGACATATCATCAAAGGATATTGTAAGCTGTCATAAGATCTGTGTAACTCAGAAATTTTTTGCAAATTATCATCACGACTATGTAATACTATATCTCTTTTGTCAAATTGCTGTCCAGCTATCACCACTGCTACTTCACTCGTAGAAGGCGCATTGTATCGTCCTCTGTGTTCTCCAACAGGAACTTTATTTGCATGGATTACGACATTAAAGTCAGGAGTATCTGCTGGAACACTCTCAATCGCAGTTTTGAAAGACTGTATGTAGTAATTATGAGAATGTAACATATCTTGGAGAGATCTAATCAAATCTATATCAATTGGCTGTGCAACACTTGTACACCGCGTAGATGCTTGTGTATCTGGATCTGCAATAAAATATATTTGCAGAAATTTGTGATCATCGGGTCGAAGTGGTAGCAAGCTCCCAGCTAAGTGGTACACTTGCCCTTGAATTTTAAATGTAGGCATGAACCCCCGCTCAACGACTTGCTTACTCTTAAAAGAGGTCATTTGAAATGCGTTATTATAACGGCGTATATTGCGCATGAATTGCTTGGATTTCTGATGATCTGATGATTCTGATGATTTCTGATGATAAGGAGAGTGTGAAGTGGTTCAGGTGGAGGGAGAACTTCTGCTAATTTGACGACTTTTCCTTTGGCAAGCAACATGCCTTTCGATTCTCGCGAATTTCAATGCACCAAACAATGTTCACACACTACTGACATTGTACGTATTGATACTATATGATCGTCCTTGTAAAAATCGGGGATGTGAAATTCCTTGGCAGAATATTGCTTTATTCACCCATGAATTGGTAACTCACGATAACTTTCTCTATTGTTCGATAACTTTTCCCTGCTGACGCGGTGAACCTCACGCTCTACTGAAAATTCTCTGTCCCTCTGAACCGTATGCCTATCGCCGATCCGGCTGCGGCAGATCTCACGCTCTACTGAAGATTACTCTCTCTCTCTCAGCTCTGTATCTATCCAGGCCTGAAGGGCGAGCCTCACGTTCCGTTGACGTTGCTTCATCTCTTGCTGAACGTACTCTTCTGGCTGTCGCTGCGACCTATATTCAAACGACGACGTCTTCCAGACATGACTTCGCAGCGCAAAAGGTGGTATGGCGCGCGGTAGCATCTAAATTCTTACCATTTAAAGCAGATAATCAAGCGATCAAAAAACAAAAAGATACCTATTCTATTCAGTTCTTTTTTTTACTGAAGCTACTACTCTAATTTATATTTTAAAACTACTATCATACGGTATTTATCGTAACTTACCCATAATTACTGATACGTTTGTCGCCGCTGAAAAGCACGTTTTTATTGAAATTGTTGCTATTTTCCTCGCTGGAGCTCCGATACCAATGGCATTTGCTTGCGTCATGCGAAATTTCAAGTGCTACGAAACCGCGACTACGGCCGGTACCGCCGAAACAGCTACGTCCCGCAATTTTTAAAAATCCGTTGCGTAGTTTCAAAAGATTTAAGCGCCTGAGGGACAGACAGAGAAGGCGACTTTCCTTCTCCAGGCAGAAAGCATCGACGGTCGGCTTCAACCCGCACGTACACCCATGCGCACGTCTGTGCTTGGAAGCTTCACGGCATGCTGGAAAGACGGCGATAATGGCTTTGTATTTGCGACATCATATTAGAAACCTCAAAAATGACATTGCTTCTCCACTATTTAAAGGGATAATTTGTTGTACGTACCGACCTTCCTCTTGAGATTGCTCTATCTATTAAAAAAACCGCATCAAATCCGTTGCGTAGTTTCAAAGATTTAAGCTCACAAGGGACCGGAAGGCAAGCGACTTTACTTTTATACTATGTAGTGATATGTACATGTATATATATACTTGCATATATATCAAAAAAAAATATATATATATATATATATATATATATCACTACATAGTATAAAGTAAAATAACATTCAATCAGAGGTTTGCGTAATATGAAGCCTCGCTGCGAGGATATATGATAATAAATATATCACCGTCAATGACCGACCTCTGACTACTATATATATATTTTGACCGCCATATATATATATATATTAAGTGTCCGTTATTTCCCAAAATGGATTTTATTTTCCAGACGCCCCAACTTTTAGATTTTACAAAAAAATATGGGGCCATTTCAGTACTTAAAATTGATAAACCGTGCCTAGAAATCATAATCGCTTTTCTCTCATTTTGTAACGGGATTTCCTGAGCGTTTTGCATTTAATTTTTGTCACCGAAGTAAAATAAACCTACAGCTTCGACAAGACATATTCCTAATGCAAGAATTTTTACCTCTACAAAATGATCTCTTTGGTTTTGCTTAAAAACATTCCCTGCTTAAGTTATTTTGCGATTAAGAAGTTTATATACATAGTTTATAATCTCATTTTACAGCAAATTCGGCACGCCACCTATAATCAATTGATCGGGAAACTAGAGTTTAAGTTGCAATAATCGCGCGCGTATCGACGGCGCGACTTAATCTTTGAATAATTTTTACGGGTTTGGGTTTTGCATCGAAAAATTTGTTCGGGCCTTTTTGTAGAGCGTAAAAATTTTCCGACACAATATGTTCCAGCGGTATTTTTAGCTATATTTGTTCCGATAAAAAAAATAACTTTAATAAAGTCCCATGTTATTTAAATGGGAAAGGACATGAATTTGGGCGGTTTTAATATCAAGGGCTGAAATGGGTCTCATATTTTTAGGTCAAAATCTAAAAGTTTGGGGCGTCTGAAAAACAATCCATTTTGGGAAATAACGGACTACCTAATATATATATATATATATATATATATACAGTAGAATCCGCGTTTACATTGCATTTCGCCTATATTGACCAACCGGTTATTATAACGTATTACACTGCTGCGAGTTTGGTTTTCATATAAAATTCTTTTATAAAAAAAAGTCGGATATATTGACTTACGGTGACATATCATTTATTACTTGACCGTTTTAATAGATTATGTCCATTTATAATAGTAATATGATTCTTTACACCTCAAATTCATGTTCGCTGATTCCCGACGACGTTTGGCGTGACAGACTTTTTGTTTTTGAATCAAAATTGATTAACGCTTGAAGATCACGCATTGTTTTCGTTTGTTGCACAACAGAAAAAATGTAGTCTCAACGACATAAAGCATTTTAATTAAGGGAGGTGCAATAATATACTGATTAGAAAATGAGAAGAGTCTAACAATATCTCATAAAAAGAAGATTTGGCGTGTGATTTAATTAGTAAATCTCAATGTTTTTTTTAAAAACAAGAACCATTATTAAGCAATCGTTCCAATTCAAATGTTTTTCGAAATCGACTACTGAAAATTAATTAAATATGAAAAAAAACAAAAGGCTTGGGGCAAAATTTACGTTACTTCCCGTAAAAAATACACTTGTATGTGTTATATTATTACTAGTACGCGCAATTTTGATTTTGATTTAATATGGCAATATTATTTTGTGTGTAAACGAGGGAAATTCCCCGTTTAACAGAAGATCTAGTGACTCACTTTTCTGGGTTGGCACGGTAGGGTAGGAGAGGGAAGAAACACGAGAGCCAGAAAAGTGATCAGTCATTCTGGAGCAATTATTAGTGTTACACGACAGTGTTACGACCATATTAAAAATCACCTCGGCGTAGACGGCGAAACCAATTTTTCATAGGTAAGATCGCCGCTCCGCCTTAATTTTAGACGCAACTTCTGACCGACATTAAGTAGTATTTGTAATGTTATTACGGCAAAAATAACAGCGAAAATTGGTCGAAGTGGTTTTAATTCGAGGGAGCAAGATTACAAATTGGTTTTCCGTTGTACACGACGCCATCCGGAAGGTAAAATCAAAGTCGCTAAGGAAAGTCAAAGAAAGGAACGGCGGCAAATGAAGTAAAATCAACCCAATCAAATCTAGCGAAGCAGCGCCAACACAAGCTGCCGGAAACGGAACGCAGAACACATAGTGAACTGTTTAATTTAAACACGATCAAGAATGCATGCAAATCAATGTCCAAGAGAGGACAATTTAAAACATCTCAATAACGTTGCCAGAAGAGATAATCCCACTTTACTTTGATAAAAGAGAAAAGAATGTAGTATTTAATAGAGATATACTTAGAAGAGAAGGGATACAACAAAAAGAAACAGCAAAAAGCAGAAATTCACACCAAAAGATTTGATATCGTTGTGGTGAAATTTAGCGAATACGTTTAGATGAAGAAAAATAAAATTTGGTTGTAATTCATATTCAGAAGAATTTCGTATTGGATAAATTTACAGGCAAGCAGAATGCGAACGAATGGATGAACTTCTTCGAACGAGAATGTACAAGAAATCAAGTAGGTTCATCTGAAAAGAAAATTCAAGTGTTACGTCTGTTGGTAGAAGATAATGAAAGTGGTATTTTGGCAAACTTGCCAGCAAAACTGACAATAAAATTTAGGGAGATTTAGGAAGAAATCGTTCATGGAAACATATGCGGACAAAAGTTGGAGCATACTCATATAAATGGATAAGTGGTCCTTTAATAGATTATGCATTAAAAAAAGAAAATCTGTTACTCGAAACAGAACCAAAGATGTCAGATTGCTCAAGAATAAACCATATAGTGATCGGATTACCAACATACGTGCAGGATAAACTAGATAAAGAGGAAATATCAGCAACAGAAAAGTGGCCAGTCAATTGAGAATACGCATCCCCGATAGAAGCCAAAGCAGTAAGCAGAAGGAAAATACCGACAGCGGATTGCAGAATAGGAGAAAAACCATGGGATATATGTAAAGCCCAAAGGAAAATATAATCGTTACCATCAACAGAACTGTCAGCGAAATAAACGGGTAACCAGAGGAAAAGAAGCGTATTTTGAGTGGAACTAGAGATAGAAAAAGAATTAGAAAATGAACAGACAAAAAACGAGGAAGTACACCACTAATAGGATTCAGAGTTATGTTAGACAAGAAAAAAGAAGTAGCGGCAGTATATGATAGCGGTTCCAACATAACAGTTATAAATGAAAAAGTGGTAAAAGAGTTAAGAAAATCGGTTTCAAAAGTAAAGAGCTAGTACATACGATTAGTGGTGTGCAAGGTCGGATAAAGAAAACCAAAATAACAGTACAAATAAATAAAATAGAACACGAGTTAGAGGTATACGTAGTGAAGAATGATAACTTCTCGTATGATTTATTATTAGGTTTAAATGCAATTAACAGTTTAAATTAATTCAAGATGAAAAACTCACAATCTTTCAGAGAACAGAAGGAAAATTAGAAGAAATTACACAGATGAAAAAGGAGAAAGAAAAAAAGTTCCAAACAAATTGTCAAATAGTGGAATCTGGAATTAAATAACAAATTACAACACTTAAACACAGAAAGAAAAAAAACTAATAGAAATGAGTACGAATAACAAGACTATCTTCGCAAACAATAAATATGACGTGGGCGAAGTAAAGAATCATGAGGCTCAGATAAAATTAATAGAAAATAGATATATATCAAAAAAAACGTATCGTTGCTCGATCCCAGATCAGGAAGAAATTGATAATCAAGTGCATAATTTGCTGAAAGCAAATTTCATTGAAGAGTCAAAATCCCCGTATGCAGCACCGGTAACATTAGCCTTCAAGAAAGAAGACGGAAGAAGATCAAGATTATGCATCGACTACAGGGGGCTGAACGAAATATTAGTTCCGGAGTCACAACCTTTCCCACGGATAGAAGATATAATAGTAAAAACAAGAAATTGTGAGTGGTATTCAGTATTCGACATTAACTCAGCTTTCTGGTCGATCCCAATACGAGAGAAAGACAGATACAAGACAGCATTTGTTACACAAACAGGACATTATCAATGGAAGCGGTTGCCTTTTGGACTGAAAATATCACCAGCGATATTTCAACGAGCATTAGCAAATATTTTGAGACGTAACAATTTACAAAATTCCTGTACAAACTATATTGATGATATTTTAGTGTTCTCTAAGTCTTTTGATGATCACATACAACACGTGACGTTACTATTACAGGCATTACGAGCCGAAGGATTTAGAATAAAACTGTCCAAATGCGAGTGGGCGAAACATTCAGTAAAATATTTAGGACACACTCTGGGTTACAACACAGTAAGCCCTCATCAAGACAACTTAATTTCCATAAAGCAGTTTCCGGAACCAAGAAACAAGAAAAATGTTCGACAATTCCTGGGCAAGGTAAACTTTTACAACAAATATATTCCAAATAGTACAGGCGACGCGCGGCTTGTTGCGAGACAACGTGAAATTTCGAATGGATGAATAGATGCCAAAGGGACTTTTCGAAAAGAAGTTAAGGATTGTTTTGAGCAGCAGTGTGTTAGCTATACTTTGATCAAAAAACATATGTAATCGCGGTTTTAACATTAAGGGGTACTTGGCAATATTAAAACATATAAAAACCAACATTATTGCCAGTAGCATATTTTTCAAAAAAGCCAGAACCCATTGAATAAACAATATACCTTGAAGTGTTTTACACGCGAATTCAAGAGCTTTGAGGTCACAGCAATACACAGCTGTAGGGACTCAGTTTCTGTATATCAGACCACAAGCCCTTAGAAAATTTAAAATTGAAGTCAAGGACAGATGAAAAGCTAGGCGATATGGTTTATTACCTATCTCAATATTCATTCACATTACGATATTCTCCAGGCAAAACAAATGAAAACAGACGCTGTCGCGAAACGGCGGGCATTTCGAAAGATTCAAATGAAATTGTACAACTGGTCAGCAATCACATTAGAAATAAAGACTCAAAGTAGCCAGAAAAGAAAAACACATATAAAAAAGAAGGAATACAATATCGAAAGATAAAGGATCAAAAGAAATTGTAGTGACAAAGGAATTCGGTAAAAAGTTAATCAATAAAGTGCATCTATATTATATGGACACAAGGTGCAATCACATCGCAAATAAGATACGCCAATTTTATTACTTTACGGGGATGGATAATATGATTCGAGAGTACTGTGGAAAATGCGAAATATGCATACAAAACAAATCAAGGCGTAATCGCGAAATCGGTTTGTTATCGCAATTAGGACCAGCAGAACAACCGTATGAGATTATGTCTTTGGACACGGTAGGAGGTTTCGCAGACAACAGATCAACAAAATATTTGCATCTTCTAGCGGATCACTTCACTCGGCATGCTTTCACAAGTACTTCAAAAGGACAAAGTTCAAAAGATTTTATAACATTGCCACAACCCATAGTGCGAAGCCATAAAATCAAGATTTTATTAACAGACCAATACCCAGCAATTAAAGCCAGAGAATTCCAAGAATTCTTAAACGCACACGGAATCACCATTGTTTACACAGCAGTGGACTGTCCGGCATCGAATGGTCTGAATGAAAGACTTAACCAGACGCTGGTTAACAGAATACGATGTAAAATGAGAGAAAAACCAAATAGAAACATGGTCCAGCGATTGCAACAAGTGCACGAAGGGAATATGATATCCGCGGGTGTAATAAAGTTCGCGCACAGAATATACTCCTGGGGAAGGATTCCAGAATAGTACCTATCGAACGCTGGAAATTAAGCGAAACTTGCAGAAGACCGACAAAACGGCATTCAAAAGAATTCACAAAAATCATCTCCAAAAATAAAGAGCAAGAACTGATCCGGAAGAAAAGAGGTAAAATTAACGTAGGTGACTACGTTTTTCATCGAAACGGAAACAAGTTAAACAGAAATAAATTAGACCCAATACGCTCTGGACCATACAAAGTCAAAGAACAAGTTTCGGATCACCTATACAAAATAGACCTAGGAAACTGGAAAAATAAAAATAATCTGTTTATTAAGCTGGTAGCCTGCGAACCAGGGTCGTCGCCATGAGGTCTCGCGATGGGGATATAAACGGAAATTCCCCGTTTAACGAAGATCAACTGACTCGCACTTTTCTGGGTTGCTTGGGAATGAGTGCGGAGGAAGAAATTTTGAGCCAGAAAGTGATCGGTCATTCACAGACAATTGTGGTGTTACGACGGTAATTTCTTCTTCTTCTGTGTGGCTCTACAGCCCATTTCGGGCCTTGGCAGCGGCTTTTGCCGGCGAACATCTCGGTTCTTGGAGACTACCCGCCAGTTCACCGGCCGGGTAGATTTTTCGTGTCTTCTTCGATGTCGTCTTCCCACCTAACTCTTGGTCTTTCGCGGTGCTGCTTCCTTCCATTTTTATTGTTGGTGTTCGTTTTTGGCATCCTCTGCTCATCATTCACCATCACATGTCCTGCCCATTGCGGTCTCTGTATTTTTGCGTATACTGATATTGGTGGGTCTTGCTTCAATAGCGTCGTATATCTCTTTATTATGTCGGAGTCTATACGTTTGTTTTTCTATAACTGGACTGTGTTACCGGAGATCTTTCACGTTCAAAAGTGTCAATCTTTATTTCGTTGGCAGATGTGAGAATCCATGTTTCACATCCATAAATTAGAATGGGTCTAATAATTGTCTTGTAGATTCTTAGTTTGTTATTCCTGTTGACGTTTTTGGACTTGAAGATGTGTAAGGTGAAGTAATAACTTTTGTTTGCCATAAGTATCCTGGTTTTATTTCAGTCTTCCTTCCCCATATGGTTTAGGTCTGCGCCAAGATATTTAAAGTTGGTTACTTGTTCGATATTTATCTTGCTTGGATAGCGTGAGATGGTTTGGGTTCATTGATTGTCGCATTAGCTTGGTTTTCTCTATGTGTTGATGTTTGAGCCAATATGTTTGCTGCTTACTTTTTATTTGTTGTTACGCTGTTATTTTTGATCTATGATGTTATCGTCGGCATATGCTACCAGTTGGACCATTTTGTTTTGTTAGGAATTTGACCTTCCTATTCCGGTTTGTCTGATGTGTGGCGTATTCTAAGGCTAGATTAAATAGGGTTGGGGCTAGCCGTCACCTTGTTTTTCTTGCAGATCCTTGGTTTTGTTTTGAAATTGGCAGACAGGTGGCCTTGTACTCTTACCTGAGCTGTGCCGTGTGTTAGCGTTGTAGCTTTTATTAAGCTTGTGGTTCTCCTAGGGATCCCAAGTTCACTTAATATGTTATATAGTTTTTCACGTGTTATGGAGTCATATGCCTGTTGAAATCCACAAAGATGTTGCATAGTAATATTGTATTCCCGGGCTTTTGCAGTAATAGTTTCGCAACAAAATCTGGTCTATGGTGAATTTACCTGGTCTAAAACCAGTATTCTCTTGATTATGTCGTTTGCTCTTAGTTGAATTCGATGGTTTTACATAATCCATGTCAAAGTTTTGCTAGGCAGTACCGAGTGAGAAGTATACCGCGGTAGTTCGAGCACATGAGCTTGTCTCCCTTTCTTGTATATGGGACATATTATATGAATTCTTTGTCAATTCGTCGGGTATTTTTTCTTTCTCCCATATGTTGACCATTAACTTATGTAGGTAGTGAAGCAACTTTCTACCACCATGCTTATATATCTCGGCTGGGATGCCGTCAATCCCTGGGGATTTGTTGTTCTTCTGAGCTTGGATGGCTTCTTCAAGTTCTTCGATAGTCGGTGGTGAAATGTCGACATTTGAGTAGTTATAGTTGTCTTCGTTTTCATTTTCATTCGTTTGGCTTGCACTTGGTGTTGTTTGTGTTAAGTTATCGTCATTGTCAGTTCCATTTAGTAGGTCTTCAAAATGGGTCTTCCATGCGTCTAGAATATTCTTGAGGTCACTGATTATTTGTCCAGTTTGGTCCCTACATAAGGTTGTATGTGGTTTGTACCCGTCCCTGATTCGTTTCAGATATTTGTATGCACTTCTTGTTTCGTTCTCTCTGAAATCCTTTTCCATGATTTCAACCTGGTTGTTTTCAAAAGTTCTTTTTGCGAGCCTACATACTTTGTCTGCTTCTCGTCTTGCTTGTCTAAAGGCAGCTTTTCTATCTCGAGTCTGAACTTGTAGATACTTGCTATAGGTTTCATTTCTAGTTTCAATTGCTTCTCTGCACTGTTCATCAAACCACTCTGGGCTTTTCTGTCTTTTGCAAGTTCCTAAAATCTCTTTTGCTGTGTTATTTAGGACCGTTTTTAGATGTTCCCATGTTTCATTTATTTCGTTTGAGTCGGTATCTTTGATGTTCATACTAAGTCGTTCTTCAAATTTTTGTTGTGTTTCTATCGATTGTAGTGCTTTAATATTTAGTACATCCTGCTTTTGTCGTTGTTGATTTCTTTGTGTTCGTATATTTAGTCTATATCGATATTTAATATGTGGGGTTGGGGTTAAGGTGAAAGCCGGTTTTGGGGATTGGTGCCCATCTTTTCTCTATTAGCACATGGTCTATTTGGTTTTTCGTAATTCCATCTGGAGATATCCATGTTGCTTTATGGATGTTGCGACGACAGTGTTACGACCATATTAAAATCACCTCGGCGTAGACGGCTTGAAAACCAATTTTCATAGGTAAGATCGCCGCTCCGCCTTGGTACGGGTACTGGCTTCGGCCGACATTGGTAAATGGCGTATTATTGTGTGGCAAAAGAAATATTCATAGAAATTGGTCGAGGTAGGACATTCGAGGAGCAAGATTACATATGTACATATTTACATAAAAAAGGATTTTCATTTCACAAAAACGCTTTTGTCACTTATTATGAGCGTGTTTGCAGTAAATTCCCTTCGATGTCATTATAACCGGACTCTACTGTATATATATATATATATATATACACTGTAATATTAAGTGTTCATGTTATTGAGTGTTATGTTGCATATTCACTCATTTTTATTGTGTGGTTTTGAATATTTTTGTGATGTTATATATGTATGTTGGCTATGTGTGGACCGATGTGTGGAATTGGTACGTTTGGTTTTGTATTGTTTTGCATGATTTGTGTCTATGTTGTGGTGATTTTGTTTTATATTGATTTTTGTGGTAGATTTGTTTATGTGTGTGTGCATTATTGAATCGTTTTCTATTTCTATTTTGATTTTCTGCATTCATTGCTATAATTTGTTTTGTTTAGTGGTGTGTATATTAATCGGTTGAAACTAAATCTGAAATATGCGTTTTTGTGTTGTTGTGGGTAGTGTGATGAGGCGTGAAAAAAATTCTATTTCTGTGGTAAATTTTAAGTTGTTGTGGGTGTTGTTGATTAGGTTTTGTATCTGTTATGTTGTGTTGTTCACAATTAATAGGATGTCGTCTACGTATCTGTACCATTGAAAATTTTATTTCATGTTCCCGATTATTATTTCTTCTATTGTTTGTAAAAATATTTTGCTAATAAATCCTGAGATGGATTGCAACCCCTGTGTTAGTGGTGTATATTGTGTTATGAAGTACTTTTATTGTTTGTGGTTTGTTATTGTGTCACTGTGTGAAGGTATTTTATGTGCACATTGTCTGTGTTTGGGATTCTATCATTTTTTATTGTATTATGTTTATTGTTTCGGTTGTGGGAATATTTGTGTATACGTTTGTTATGTCGAATGAAAATAGTTTTGTATTGTTGTTGATTTGTATGTTTTTTATATGGTTTACTAGTTCTGAGGTGTTGTTGATGTTGTATTTGTTTGGTAGTGTAATTATTGCTTCTAATTTCAGTAAGACTTTGGATAATATTTTGTATGCTGGTGCCTTTTAAGTTTATTTAAGTCTGTAGTTAGTATGGGTTTGGTTTATGTGTTTTGTATTTGAAGTGCGTTTAGTTTTGGTGGTTGTATGGATTTGTGTATAATTTGTATACGTTCGTTTGGTTTTGTGTCGATTTCACGGGTTTCTTTGTGCAAACAATGTTTTAATTATTTTTGTTATATTTGTTGGTTGAGGTCTTTGTTAAATTATGGTGTGGAAATTGTTTTATTTAGGAATATTATTTCTGTTTTTAGGTATGTATTCGTCTTGTTTTATTATTACTAAGTTTTTGGTTTTGTCTGCTATAGTTATTATTGTATTATTTTTAATTATAAAATGTATTTATTAAAATAATTTTGTGATTTTCTTAGTTTACAATTTTGTCAGAGCACAGATTCAAGAATTTGTGTTCTAGGGGTGTTTTGTGTGTCAGGAGTGTTTGTGTTGTGTTAATGTGTGTTATCTGGTTGTATTTTTATGTGGAGCTTTTGGGGGTTTTGAAATAGTGTCGTTATTGAATTTACATCACGTTTAGTTTAAGGTGTGTTTGAGTTTGTGTTTGTGTTTGTAACTGCGCAGTAGGCTATTTATCGTTAGAAGTTTTTAATATTGTTAGGGGTGTTCCTTGTTGTGGCTGTGTTTTAAGATGTGTTTCGCGTAGTGTGAAATTTGGTATATTTGATTTTTTTATTGCGTTAGTATGTTCTTAGGTATATCACAGATGTCATAGGCTGCCATTTGTTTTGCCTATATATATTTCTGTGACAAGTGATTTTTATATATTTATATATGTTGAAGCGCGCGCCGACTGCGATTATCCACACCGACAGCTGTCGATGGGGAAACAAAAAGGAAGTGCGAGGTAGTCGCGATCCTAGGTGCATCTATTTATAGATAAATTAACGGTGAGCAGAATGTATTTGTATAGGTAGTTACTGACATGCTTGTATGTTGAACGCATGTTCCTCCGCGCTTTGTAGGTTATGGGCCCAGAAATTAGAGATTTCAGGTTTGGGTTGCAGCAGCGGGTTGGGGCAGGAGGAAAAACTGCAAACACTGAGCTAACTCACGTTGGCGCACAGAGTAGGAAACTAACGTGAAGCCGTAGCAAAAAGGTGTGTGTTGTTGTACGTCAAGGGCGTGCATCGACTGGAAAAGACTGTCTTGATAGACGGTACGGAGTTATTACACAAAATACTGTGAAAGAAGAAAAACACCGATTGGGTGGATCGTGAATTTATGTAATTCGATGACCACTGTGATACAAGTTGAAGCATCGTGAAATTTAGCCAATTCGGTGACCACTGAAGCATCGTGAAATTTGTAATTCGATGACCACTGTGATACAAGTTGAATCATCGTGAGAAATTTGTAGTCGGGCATTACTGGAAGTACAAGTTTGGAATCATCGTGAAATTTATGCGATGACCACTGTGATACAAGTTGGAAGCTGCTGATATGCACTCGGATACGCAAATGGTGAAATTAAACCAGAACCGGTCGCTGACGACGCCGACAACGCAGCCCGCCGTCGCTGAATGGGAAAGAAAACGATAGGAGAGAATCGGACTCATCACCGATAGGCCCAGTGTATTGAAGCACGTGAAGGGGTGCGAAATTCAAGGTGCGTGGAATAAGCGGAAATAACTTATCAATCCCGAGGACCGGCGGGCCAGCCTCTTGAGATGCTAACGCAGCGCAAGGATGAGGGAAGGTTGAACGAAGAACACCCTTGAATTGAGGTGGAGGAATTCCCAACCTGAACGTACATGAGTTCGAAAGTTGCGGCGCGGCGCTGCGCGGGCGAAGTGATTGAAGACGTAAATCTATCAGTCGGCGAACACTGTCGTAGCAACGAAATTTCCGCGGCAATAATGGCATCACCAAGCAACTGAATGGATGGATGCCATGAACGAGGAAATGAACTCAATCCTGAAACATGATACTGGGAATTAGTAAACAGGCCAGAAACCAAGTAGTAAACCAAGTAGTCGGAAACGGGATGGTACTACGCGAAGATTAAACCAGATTGAACGATCGAAAATGAGGATACGTCGGTGATGTGGGCGGTAGTAGCACTATGGCGCACGAGCAGAGCATGAGGATTCGACGAAGATTCGGCTGGGCTTCACACGAGACGGAACTGGACGATATCCAAGGTATCGTCTCGGTCTCAGTATCACGTCTGCAAAAAGCGATGAGACGATACGAGAAAAGTGCGTGTGAAGAAAGCTAAAAATAGAAACTCAGTTTTAGATCTTTGCAGTTCAAAAAGTTTAGTCATTTAATTACCCATTTGCGTATATTGTAAAGTAGATAAAATACATACATAGTTTAAAATATTAATTTTTTGTTGCATCACTTTTTTAATTGAAAATATATTTTTTAATGTTTCAAAATTTTAAAAACGTTATTACCTTTACTAAAATTTTAATATTAGAGTTGATTGTGTTGAAAGTAAAGAAGTCGCACGCATTTCCTAACTTGCAGATGTATACAATATCTTTGCTTCCAAGAAGTACAGAAAAAGCACAAAAAATATATATGCTCCGGATGTGTAAACAAAGACAAAGTACTTAGCGAAAACTTTCAAAAAGTGGGTAAGCGATATTCAGTTTACTGACTTATTTATTTGAATATACAAAAGAAATATTTCTGAATGGTCATATATTGGATTTCATATATATTTGGACCTTTTCCCATTTTTCTAATAGCACAAAAGCTTCGCAAAAAAGTAGCAGAGACCAATAACGAGACTCGGACTGTGGTGTACATCGGTATCGCCGAGGTGATAAAAACACGTCTCTCGTCTCAGTATCGTCTCGCTTTTCGAACGAGACCGAGACGATACGAAGAGAAAAGTCTCGGTATCATAGCAGTGAAAGCTCTAAATTCGACGTATCAACGGCATATTTGAACGAAATTTGGTCGAAGAAATATTCATGGAAGCCCCTGGAAATCTTACCGAAATTCTTCATGTAATCGTGGTAGAGAACTCAGAGTTAAGTAAAACGGCAGCAATTGAAAAACGATTGCGTGTGCCTTGTAAAAAAGGGTTTGTACGGCCTTAAACAAGCCGGAGACATTGGTACGAAAAGCTAGGTACCAAATTGCGACAAATGGGAGCTGAACCTACGAGCGGACCCATGTGTCTCTACCTGCTGAAGCGAGGGGAGGAAGTCGCAGCATACATTGTCACAGTGACTTACGTAGATGATATTCTCGTAGTGCTCGTAGTGTCAGAGAACAACGAAACTGCAACACAGGTGCAAGAAAATTAGGGAACCAAATTCGATTGAATCAACAAGGGCTTGTTGTGGAACTTTCCAGCTTATATAGAATGGAAGAGTGCAACCCTGTGTTTGACACCTAGTCAAGTGTGGGAAGCTGACAAAAGGCAAGATCGCTTCAGCCGGCGAAGGAACTGTATGCACCGAAGCACCTGAAGATTTCATCATGTTGATGGGATTGAGGCGGATCGTTAGCGTAGGGTGAAGTGTTGAAG